TATCTATATCTATATCTATATCTATATCTATACTATATCTATATCTATAGCTTTATCTATATCTATATCTAAATTTACACCGATGTAAATATATCTATGTCTATATTTATATATACACATCTACTTTTCATATATCCTTACATGGTATCTTTACCTATTATCACTTATCTGTAATTCATATCCCTATTTTTCCAGACTTTCTATACCTGCTGTATATCATTCTCATATATCAAATACTCTTTTTGTATAATACTTTGATTATATTTTTCAGAATGGCAAGGGCATTTCAACGTCTTTATATTTCCTTATCAAAAGTTATTATTAGATTGCAGTTGATTTTCCCCCTTTTTTTTACTGTTTGCTTATCGGCACTGACGTCAGATAGACCAGTTTGACCCTTGAACTGTGTGTCCATGTAGCTAGTTTCACTTAGTATGTGTCTACACTCAGTCACACACACACGCCCCCTGGACACTCACTGAAAAGAGGCGTTGCATGGTTGTGGGCGTGGCTAATGTACAACTTTGTATTGCATCACAGTGAGCAGCAATTAGCGCCAATAGCAATTAGAAATACAGGTTGTCTAGTTAGTTAGTAGCTATGCATACGAACAGCATGCACGACTGCAGGATACTCTGTAATAGATTAAGTGACTATCTCTCGAAAGGGAATAATTTTATTACAAAATTGTCTCTTTTCTTCTTCTTTCAATATATCCTGTAATTTCTGTGGTCGACTAGCAAATACTCTGTATGCATGGTATACATACATATACATACATAAGCTTATTTTTATATCAGTCTATTTGTAAAATAATTTGGAGTTTTTATCTATTTCTTACCTATCTCAATCAATATGCCCCATTTCTGAAAGCTTTTTTATTGCTTTGCCTATTTTGTAATTAACAAATCAATTCAATCAATTTAAGTTTTATATAGTTTTAATTAACGTTTCGTAATTGTCAGGCTATATGTGTAGATGGAGTGCCATAGCAGCGAGCTAGCAAACTGGCGACGTGGCTATTGCCCCTCTATGCGATTCGCATGCAAAAGCAAGATGACCTTGAGCTTAAATTACGGCACCTTATGCCACAGTCAGAGCAATATCTCTGTACGCAATTAATTGTGTAAATATCTAAACACAACACACACACTCACACTCACACACACACATGAAGCTGCGCAACAGGTAAACATTTGCCTAGCTGCCACAGACACACACATTAACCCCGCCCCCGTCCGTGCATCACTTCTTTGTTGCTTTTTTTGCGGTCTCCATGAAAATATTTTCCAAAATGTGTCTAAAGAAAAAAAAAATAGAATTTATGTATTTAACGCAAATACATACATATGTATATTTGCTTGTGAATGCCACAAAAAATTCACAAAAATTTCGCAAAAAGCAAACATCGAGTGGTTCGATTTTAATTTACTAATTCAGCTGCGCGATTCATCCAAAAATTTCTTTGACCAGTCAATTTATTTGCTTTTCCCATTTTATGCGATTTCATCCGAATTATGAATGACTAACGCAATGAAGAAGATGAAGAGGAAGAAGTAGCTGCAGCAGAGAAAACAGCAAACAATTGCAGACTTTGCCATGATGAATCAACGAAAGTAATAATTTTTCGATTAAGGTTTGGTTTATTATTCCATGAATAAACCTTAACTAAATTATACTTTTGACTTTAGAACTCTTATTTGGTTCGTTGTATGTATATAAGAATATAATATATTTTTAGACTCCATGTTGACTGCGATTTCCATATTCAATATTTTTTTTATTTTTATTTTATGTTCTATGTTCTATAATACTATATTTTATATAC